TCGCGGAAGAGGATGACATTCCGGTTGTGAACGTGACCCAGAGCGCGCAGGATCCTGCAAGGGGCGAGCAGTTCGGTTCTAACGAGGATTTGCTTAATGCCGATCAAGCTGCTACTTCAAAGACTGCTTAGTCTTTTCTTTTCCTTCTTTAACTCGAACTCATTCACCCTTTCATGGGTTATTTTGCATGTAATATTTTATTTCTGAACCCTCGGTGGGTTCTTGAACTTATTCGCCTCTCGGAAGGCTTTTAATTATATGCTCGCTTGCTTTCTTATTTATTTTTTTTTATCTTGATGACTTTATTTTCTTTCAAGTAGTAGATCGGTATTTGATTTGATCTTTATTTATTCGATTTAGCAAATTGCGACAACACCTAAGTAGTAGGTCGGTAACTAGTAGGTGATGTTTGAACATAATTTAACCTTTCGGTAGCAAATTGCGATAATGGGGCTTACGTTTTCCGAGTGTTGAGAACTCGGCTTACGGTGCGAATCTGAGGAGTTCGCCTTATTGTGCGAGCATTTGAGCTCGGCCTGGGGAACCCAACTGAATCGTGTCGTACTGGAAGAGTGAATTAATTCGAACTCCTGTAAGCGCACGAAACGAGTTCAAGGTTTTTCTAAGTCGAACCTAAGTATGCGAGATGTGCTCGGCTTATTTTTCTTGGTGACTTAGAAATTTAACTGCGGGACTGGCCCCGGCTTTTGATATGTGGTTTTACCATGGCACCATGTGGGTGCTCGCGAGACGGATCTCGGCTTTTTAAGTTTGCATTCATGTGGAATGCTATCGAACAACTGGCTAGGAAGTCGATGTAAGAACAAGGAGTTCAGTATCTTGTGATTTATGAACTAGAACTTAGACGTTTTTGACTTAATAAAACTTTATTGATGTTATAGCTGGACTCGGTAACGAGCTGCCTACGTACCTTTTTAAAGGGATCAAGCCATTCGTAGTTCTAAGTACAAAAGTGTTTTTTGTTCCGACTAAGTAGTTCGGAGGCTTTTTTTTTTATCGAAGTTCGTAACGAACTAGTAATAGTATCGTTTGAGATGCATTGAGTTCCAGGATCGCGGGATCGGAGTTCCGTCTAACTTCATGAGTTGATAAACGCCGGGCTTAACAACCTTCATCACTTGGTATGGTCTTTCCCAATTCGCGCCGAGTTTTCCTGCGTTCTTTTCTTCTATGTTTTGATAGAATTTGCGAAGTACGAGATTGCCATCTTCAAAGTGACGGCCTTTAACTTTCTTGTTATAGTAACGAGCTGCCAGTTGTTGGTAGTTTTGTATCCGGAGTAGTGCTCGTTCGCGATGTTCTTCTACCAAATCGATTGTTTCGAGCATCATGTCGTTATTCGCATCGGGTTGCTGGGTGAGCATAGTGCAGCGAATACTTGGGACGTTGTGTTCGGCTGGACACATAGCTTCTGTACCATATGCGAGGAAGAAAGGTGATTAACCGGTCGAACGTCGTGGTGTAGTTCGGTGAGACCATAAGACACCATCGAGTTCATCCGCCCAAGTTCCCTTCGCGGTATCTAGTCGCTTCTTCAGACCATCAATAATGGTTTTTTTCGTGGCTTCGGCTTGTCCGTTTCCTTGTGGGTATCGCGGGGTAGAAAAACTTAGTCGGATTTTCCACTTGGCGCAAAAATCTGTGAAAATTATCGAAGTGAATTGGGTTCCGTTGTCCGTAACGATCTTGTACGGGACTCCGTGTCGGCAGATGATAAATTTCCAGATGAACTTTTTGACATCGATTCCGTGAATCTCGGGGTATGCCTCGGCTTCGATCCATTTGGTGAAGTAGTCCGTGACGACCAGAACGTATTGCTTCTGAGTCGTAGATCGGCGAAAAAGACCGATGATGTCCATTGCCCAGCGCATGAAAGGGTATGGTGCGGTCGAAGTCATCAAGAGCTCGGTAGGAAGGTTGATCATTGGGCCATGACGTTGGCACTTCTCGCAACGTGCTGTATACTTTTTCATAGTCAGAAAGCATAGTACGCCAGTAATAACCAGTTTTTTTTATCTTGAATGCCAGAGACTGAGCTCCGGAGTGATTCCCTCGTTCTCTTCATGAACTTTTCTGCATCACTTTCCATGATGTCGTTGCCGTGACACAGTCAAAGTACACGGGATGCATCCCATCTGAGAAGAGTGCCGTAATGACACATATGGAGCTGCTCGAGCCTTAAGGCGTCGAGCTGCCATTATCTGCGGGGACCGTTCCATCTCCAATGTAGCCCACAATTTCTAAGGTCCAATCTTCGGGCTCGTCATCACCTTCGGCTTCGATATCGATTGGAATATGTTGGCCTTTAGACTCGTCTTCGAGATCAGATTCGTTATCATTTAGTTCGTCCATGTTGGTGTTGAGATCGGTGACGACCTCTCTGGGTTTCGTTTTCCGGGTGAGGGGTAGAGCGAGATTGGGTTGGGCTTCGTAATCACGTCGTCTTGTAATGATGTTGCAGTTCGGAGCATGTTCGATACTTGGTCGTTCGATTGCCGCAATTGGGATAGTTCGCCGAAGATCGGGATCAGAATTAGTCGCGAAAGCGGCTAAGGCGTCGGCGGTTGCATTCTCATCACGAGGTATCTTTGTAAGCTTGAAGGTTGAGAACTCCGAAGCAACATCCTTAAGGACTTTGAGATACGCGTCCATGCGATCGTTCTTGGCCTCGTATTCGCCGTGAAATTGGTTAGCCACAAGTTGAGAGTCGCAGTAGGCGTGTACGTGTTCGGCACCGATATTTTTAGCAAGTCATAGTCCGGCAATTAATGCTTCGTATTCGGCTTCATTGTTGGACGCCGGGAAGCCAAGGCGGAATGATTGTTCGATAACCTCCCCTTCAGGGGATTTGAGATGAATCCCGACGCCGGATCCTTTATGGGAAGAGGAGCCATCGGCGTGGAGAATCCAAGGTTGTATGACAGGATTAGCTTCGACGAGCTCAGGTGGGAGTTCGACCAAGAAATCCGCCAGGACTTGAGACTTCGTTGCAGTTCTTCCTCGGTATTCGATGTCATGTTCGCTGAGTTCAATGGCCCACTTGGCAAGTCGTCCGGATTGACTTGGGCTATGGAGGAAAGTGCAAAGAGGGTAGTCAGTTAGGACAATGATCGAGTGAGATTGGAAATACGGGCGTAACTTCCTCGCGGAAATAACCACGGCAAAGGCGAATTTCTCCAAGGTCGGGTAACGATACTCTGACCCATCAAGGGATTTGCTTGTGTAGAAAATTGGCTTCTGCTCGCCACGATCTTCTCGAACAAGAACACTGCTGACCGCGAACTTCAAAATTGCGATGTAGAGGTAAAGTGTCTTGCCGGTTTCGGGTTTGGATAAGACTGGCGGTGTAAACAAGTATTTCTTTAGCTCGGCAAAAGCTTCTTCGCACTTCTCATTCCATTCGAGATGTTTGTTACCGCGAAGAAGTTGGTAGAAAGACAAGCACTTGTCCGTCGATCTGGATATAAACCGATTAAGTGCTGCAATGCGTCCAGTGAGTCGCTGAACCTCGCGTTTGGTTGTCGGAGATGGGAGCTCGGGTATAGCTGCAATCTGTTTTGGATTAGCTTCAAGCCTCGCCGTGTGACTATGTATCCGAGGAACTCTCCAGATGTTACGCCGAACGTGCACTTAGCGGGATTAAGCTTCATGCCATACTGGTCCAAAATATCGAAGCATGTGCGAAGATGACCGACGTGATCGGAAGCGACGAGTGATTTCACGAGCATATCGTCAATGTAAACTTCCATAGTTCGCCCGAGCTGGCTTGCGAACATCCGGTTCACCAGTCGTTGATATGTTGCTCCAACATTCTTCAAACCGAAAGGCATGACTTTATAGCAGTATATGCCACGGTCCGTGATGAACGATGTCTTTTCCCGATCTTGCGGATGCATAAGAATCTGATTATATCCGGAGAATGCGTCCATAAATGAGAGTAGTTCGTTCCCGGCAGTTGCTTCCACAAGGCGATCGATATGAGGCAAAGGAAAACTGTCTTTCGGACACGCCTTATTGAGGTCGGTAAAATCGACGCAGATCCTCCATTTATTTATTCTTCTTCTTGACGACGACGGGATTTGCTAACTAGTCAGGATATTTGACTTTGGTGATAGATCCTGCTTTGAGCAACCGCTCGACCTCGTCGTTGACGGCTTGTGCCTTCTCTGGTCCGAGCTTTCGGCGTTTCTGCTTTATTGGTTTGTATGTTGGATCGATGTTAAGCTCGTGACACGCGATCTGTGGATCAATCCCGGGCATATCTTCTACCGACCATGCGAAGGTTGACGAATGCTGTTTTAGAAAGTAAATGAGTGGATCGCGGATGCTTGAGTCGAGTTCAGCGCCGATTCCGACTTGACGCTCTGGCCTTAGTTCGTCGATGCAAACTTGAACGATCGACTCCTGCTTAGGCTTTGTCTGCTGGACGATGAGCTCGTTCGTCGGTCCTAACGAACTGATGACACAAGCTTGGTTGGCTGAATGAAGTTTGCATTCGTTTATGTAACATGATCGAGCGACGGCTTGGTTTCCTCGGAGGCTGTAGACACCGTCGGGAGTTGGGAACTTCAGACATTGATGGTACGTTGAGGCAACCGCCTTCATTGCGTGTAACCAAGGCGAACCGAGAATAGCGTTGTAGATTGCCGGTTTGTCGAGGATGAGGAACTAGATAATCTTTGCGACTCCACCGAGGTAGATCGGGATGTTGACCATGCCGACCGTCATGCAGCGTTCTCCGTCGAAACCTGTAAGTGGCTCGATAAAAGGCTCAATCTTATCTGACGGTAAATCGAGCTGGTCAAGTGCTTCCTTGAAGATAATGTTGACCGAACTGCCTGTGTCGACCAGAATGCGACTAACTTCGACGTCGTCGAGAAGTAGTTCAACGACGAGGCGTCGTTATGTGGTTTATGCAGCCCGATTGTGTCGGCCTCAGTAAATACCAAAGGCGTTCCCTTCGGCGGATCGTGCGGGACTTAGGGCGCGCTGGCGGCCTGTCTACTGTATTCTTTGATAGCTCGAACCGAATAGCTGCAAGCTTCGATGGCCCCCATTATCATGTTGACGCGTTTCCTTGCTTTGGGAGCATGGTTTTCTGGTGCTCGGTCGTCACGATTGCGTTTCTGTTGTTCGGGCAACGCATGCGGATTCGGTGGCAGTGGTGGTAGCGCCGGCAAAGCTGGTAACGTCGGTAAAGCCGGTGGAGTTGGTGGATCCTTTGCGATGGCGTTCTCGAGCTGTGCGTTATTTGGTCGAGGCATGTTTGAACGACGGAGATCGTCAATCGAGATTTGCCCACTGTTCCTAGGCGTAATTGAGCGACGGAGATCGTCAACCGAGATTGGCCCCTTTCGGTATTGGCCGAGTAGATATTCACGCAGGTGTCTGCATTCTTTGGTGCTATGTCCTCTACGGTTGTGGAATTCGCAGAATAAGGACTCGTCCTGATCTTCTTCACCACGGACCCACTTATTGTTCCATTGTTTGGTTGGTTGTTGGATTGCATTAGCGTAGAACTTCTTACGATTCTCGTACCCTCTGCCGTATCCTTACTGTGGTTCGTTAGTTGTTGCTTTCGAACGTTCGGGTTGCTGTGTCGAATAACTTTGCTCATAAGCGGTTTCTTCTTCTTCTTCGGCGATGTAAGTATTAGCTCGGTGTAGTGCGTCTTCTAATGTCTGTGGAGGGTTATGCGTGATAGCGCTTTGGAAGCTAGTCTTTATCCAACCTCCTTTCTGAAGGTATAAGAGGGCGGCTTCATCGCTGATCGTACATTTAGCGACAATCGTCTTAAAGCGCTGGATGAAATCGCGAAGGCTCTCGCTTGCTCCTTGGGCTATTTGCCAGAGCTCGGAGTTCTTGGTGTTCTGCCCGATGAACATGGAGAAGTGTTTAACGAAGACCGTTGTCAACTCCTTATAGTTATCGATTGAGTTGGCCTCGTGTCGCGAGAACCAGTCGAGAGCTACTCCTCCCAGACTTTCCACAAATAGTTGGCACTGAACTGCATCTCTCTCCTCGGCGGATTTGAACTGGTATCGATTCATGCAGATGCCGAATGATGTCAAAAAGTGTCGGGGGTCAGTATTGCCTTCATAGATCTTTATCTTCAGTTTCTCCATGTGTTTGACCGGCGTTCCTGCTATGGCGGTGTGAAGGGTGTCTTCTGTGTTTCCTGAATAACGAGCTCGATCTCCGGAGCTGCGCTTGTTGCCTGATGTATTTTCGAGGTGATCTCACGAAGTTGTGCCTTCATTGCTTCGAACTCGGCGTCGCGACTTAGGTCCGGTGCTGGTGCGTTCGCTGATCCGACTGCGGTAGTCCTCATAGTTCCGGCGGGGTCTCCATCAGTATTGAGGTCGTCGATGATATTCCGAACTCGAAGGGGAGTTCGTGCTTGACTGAGCTCGGCGATTTGCGCTGCCATCTGACTGAAACGTTCCTCGCTCCTTTTGTTAATGGCCTCAAATTGGGCGTTGAACACTTGGAGCAGCAATTCAGTTCCAAAACCTCCTACGGCTGCGGGGGTTTGGCCGGCTTCAGTACCAGCGTTTTCCCCAGGAATTCCTCCTCCCTGCTCCGCTGGGTTTCGAACGTTAGCGTTCTCTCCACCGAGAGGGTTTCCTTCCTCGTGAATGTTGGCTTGATCCGTCATTGCTGATTCGATCTATCCGAAGTCCGATCTAAGACTGAAAATTCTGTTTAGGCCCCCTACCTGGCGCGCCAATTGTTGATATGTGAATATCGACAAGGGGTAAAACAGTAATTTAGATCGGTAAACTCGGGTTTTATTAGATTGAATCGAGAGAATACAACTGAGTTCGGTTATTAAGTAAAGAATAACGAACTAAGACTTTATGAAACTAAGAATCTAAAGCGATGAGTTCTCAGTTTCTAAGAGTTCTCAGTTTCTAAGTCTTCTCTGGAATATCTTGTGTTCTCTGGTGTCGATTCCTCTTCCTTTATATATATCTTCTGAGTCGGTCATCAAGTGCATCTTCGGCGATATGGGACCGAGAGGACTTTCCTTTTCTCTCGGTCCTTTTCCTTTTGTCATAGTAGTTTCTCTTTTCTCTTAGGAAACTTTCCTATTTTCGACCGAACTCGGGGAACTTCTCGGTTCCTTCGAGAAGCTTCCCGCCGACCTCGGCTTAATGGGCTGCGTTCGGCCCAAGATTTGATTCGGCTCAGTCTTCCCGGTACATTCTTTCGTGAACCAGGCTTACGTTACGCCAATCTCGGTTTGTACCGGAGAAAACCGGGGTGCGGTTTTCACCTCCAACAACTCCAAACGTCCTAACCGCCCCTTCCAATGAATCCAATACCCTTTCTCCACGCCCACCAACAACCCCTCCCACTGAGCCCAATGCCATCTCTCTAGACCCGTGTCGATCCACCACTATCCAACGATTGGTCCCTCTCTAGGCCCTTGAGCTCACCAACGCAACTATCAGTTTTAGGATTATGTTACGCTGTAGGAGAATCTAAATTTTACTGTGTTATATGAATTTAGGATGTGGTCAAAAATCATTTAGGATGATAGGATAGGATCACCAATATAGGCATTCATTAGGACAAATTTTGTTGTTTAATTATCTCTTGTGATTTTACTTCTTTTGGTTCTAACTATGACGGTTCTTTTGTGTGTGGGAAATGAAAGGACAAACTTGAGCTTAAAGCAGTTAAAGATGGAGCTGTTAGCTACGCTGCGTTGGAGAAAAAGGCTCTTTTATATGAAAAGCTTACAAGGGCAGAGCTTTCATATGAATAAGTAGAATAGTAATAACTATGAGAATTTCTTCAGGAAAGGAATTGAACATGAAGAAGATTTACAACCATCAACTACCTGCAACAATTCCATTTCAGCACCACCTGAAGATTTAAAAGCAGATGGAGAAAACAATGGTTCTCTGTTTAGTACCAAATTTGCTGGACTTGGACGTGCAATTGGGAAAACTGATAAGTCCACGTGCATATGTTCAAGCAAATTAAATTTTTGTCTCCTTTTCTCCATTATTCATATGTCGGATACATAGCACAAAGAGGGAGAGAAGGAAGCAAGCTCATCGTTATCACTACAAAAAAAAAAAATCAAGTGAATTAACATATATCTCTTACTGATCTTCTCTTTTGTAGTAAAAATCTGTGCAGAGAGGTTCATGAAGAAGTGAATCAAACGATTTAGGAAGCTTATTAAAATTTCAGGAATGAATTCTAATGTTTGGGAAGGCATTCATAGTTTAAGAAAAGATATATGTTGGCTTGGAAATATTGGGTGGATATTTGTATTTCCATGTTCATTTTGTGATTATGTTTCTGGAAGTAATTTAGCTTCTTTGGTCTAAATTTTTGGAGCATCGATACTTCTTGTTAGTTCTATGCCTCATCTTGACACGTCTTATTTTTTTATGTGTTTGAAGCTAAATGATCTCTAAAAATGAGTTTCAATCTTTACATGTTTAGCTAACATGAGTTCCTTTACGAGCATTCAACAACTTAGTAAATAATCTGGTTCGTTCTTCTCTATTTCGGAATATTTAGGAAGTATTGCTCAAATTTATGAACACCTTCCGATGTCATCCTTATCAACATTCCTAATGTTTTACTAATGCTTTCATATTCGTCTCTTCAACATTTTCTGTACTTTTTCTGTACTTTTTTAAACATCTGCTTGTTGATAGACCTTTTGTTTTTGTTCTGTTTTTTTTTGTTTAGAAAAGTTTTCGAAAACAATAGGAATGCTTTGTAAACCTCTAATAAATATTTATTTAAGAAGACCTTCTAAAGTTTGATAAATGTTTTTTGAAGGATTTTTTGATGGTTTTATTAGAAAGTTTTTCAACCTCTAGAAACTTTAAAAGGTTTACAAAGCATATCTAATGTTTTAGGAAGCAACTATTATAGTATTTAAGAAGTGAATCGTGCTGTGGTTTAACGCACAGATTTTTGTATCGTTTTGATTAATGAAAATCATGGATTCTGATTGGTCATCTCACGTTATAATTTGATTGGTTGATCAACTATTTTTTATCATTTAAACCATAAATTAAATGCTTATTAAACTATATATTAAATGCTAAGCATATTTTTTAAAAATGAAACATGGGCCGTATTTCTAGCTGCCGAATAACGTTGCCCAACATCTAAATTTTTAAATACAGAAACATTATACATACCTTCCAATATGTCGTTTATGCTGAATGAGATGGTAGCTGTGTTGCTTATGTGCTTTGTCCATTTAGCTAATGCTCACGGGTTCGAATCGTGTGGTTTTTTTTTTTTTAATTTTTAGATTTTTAATACAATTCGATGTTTGGAAATAATTTTTATTTGTTAAATATTTTGCAAATGGAAATATGTCATAAATTTCCTTTGTTATTATCTAGAATGGAATCTTTACATTTTTAATAATTAATAACTACGAAATTCATGGGAAGATAATATCGTATATAAAACAAGAATTACCTTTTAGTATTTTTCACAAGAAAATAAACCCTAGGTTGTTTAGACGTATAAATATGAGTGTTTTCATCCAATCGTCTCATAATTTACAGTTTAGTTTTTCTGGATCTCTTTAGAAAAGATTAATCATGTTTGTCTATTTGCATGCAAACCTAACTATGTGTTCGTCTAAGTACAGCTTT